AGCCTTTATAAGGTTAATGTACTTCTTTGGTACTCCTTTCAGTGACAAACACTGCCATAGAACCTCACAATCAATAGAGTCGAATGCCGCCTTAAGGTCGAGAAATACTACCATTGTGGGGCGTCTGAATGTGTGTCTGTGTTCTAGAACCTGACGTAGTGTGAATATCTGATCTATACAACCACGTCCAGGTCGAAAACCAGCCTGGTTTTCTCTAGTCTGCTCTTCACGAGCTTTAGTTAGGCGTCGAAGTATTATTGAGGCTAATATTTTAGACACTATATTTGTCAAACTGATTCCTCTGTGATTGTCACAAGAGGACTTTTGTCCTTTCTTAAAAACTGGCACAATCAGTGATTGAGACCAGTCAGATGGGATTACGTCCAGTTCCCAAATTCTACCTAAGACCTCGGTTAATCTCATTGCTAATACTGGACCACCATCCTTAAAAATCTCAGGAGTAAACCTGTCAGGGCCTGCTGCTCTCCCTCGTTTCAGATTTCCTATGGATTTTTCAACTTCGTAAAGGGACGGAGGACCTACATTAACTTGTCATTCAGGTTGACTAGAGATCGTGGGAAACCGAGGTGTGGCTGAAGACCAGTTGAACTGATCCCTAAAGTGCTCTGCCGATCGATCCAATCTCCTGGATTGAGAATGTATAATATGTCCATCTTTCTCTGAGAGTGTTTCGCTAACAGTCGGTTTCCTTAACAAGTCTGAACAATTGTCTGCTATTACCTATTGCCGCTGCCATTTCCATCTCTCTCGCTTTCGCTACGCACCACTGTTCACGATCATTGCATAGACTTTTTCTCAGCTTGCGCTTAAGCTGCCTACGCTCTTCATTATGTTCAGAGCCAGGTGGAATGTGTTTCCGAATATTTATCAGTGAGATAGATGCTGCTGAGATCCAGTGTTGCTCCCTAACCTTCTGGTTTACCTTACTAGCAGATATCACTGCTGTTTCCACAGCTTTTCGGATATCATTCCATGCTGCATCGGGGTGGGCATCACATACATGGCTGCCTAACTGTTTTCCTAGTTGTTCCTGAAATATACTCTTAGCTTGACTATCATTAAGTAGGGCCCTAAGAGGTTTCCTTGCAGGATCTTTCCTACGTCCAGTAAGACGCAAGCAAATACGCGCTCGCACTAGAGCATGGTCTGAATCTAGGCATGTGCTCCAGAATGAGCGACAGTCTTCTATCGAGCCCCTCCATCAGTGGCTGATAGCGATGTGATCTATTTGGATCCAACGTTGGGACGAATTAGGGGGTCGCCATGTTAAAAGATGTTTTTCCTTATGCTTAAAGTTAGTATTTGCAAGGAACAGGCGGTTATCTGAGCATAGCTGCAACAGACGGTCGCCATTATCTGTTCTTTGAGCCACGACACCATAGGATCCACCTAGGTGTCTTTCCTTATCGCTTAGTTTACCTACTTGAGCATTAAAGTCACCGGCCACTATTACTACATCCGAGCGCTTAGCTTTTCGGAGAAGGTCCGAAAGCTTTCTGTAAAACTCATCTTTTACATCATCTGAGCTGCAGTCAGTGGGAGAATAGGCAGAGACGACGAAGAGGCAACGACGAGTGTCCCTATCTTTCCGGATTCTTACTGTTCCGTTCAGTCGGACAGCGCACAAACGACTGTTTACTGGGATCCACTCTAAGAGAGCTAGTTCTGCCCTAGGACTCAATGCTATACCTACGCCGGCGAGGCCACGGGAAGCAGAATCAGGGCTTCCAGATACACGAAGCGTAAATCGAGTCGGTTCTTTATTTTGGCATGGTGAGGTCAAATGAATGACGCTACTTGGATCCTGTATGCACGTTTCGGAGACGCAGCACACATCGATGGCGCGAGATTCTAATGTTTTAGCTAAGGAAACCTGCTGTCCTATTTGGCACAGAGTTTGTACGTTAAAAGCTCCTACGTGTAGTTTAGAGCGTGGTTTCAGGAGACCAGGAATGGCGTTCCACGTACTCGAATCGTTTGCCCTAGCGGTGCGAGGTGATAAAGAGACGTGAGGAGGGTTAGTCGGGAGGATAAGAGAGGTATTAGGAGGTGTAGGAAGGATTTGAATGTGACCACCTTGGTCTCTTGTGCTGTTACGGGTATGAGGGCTGATGTCACTTCCCGGCTGCCCACATCGTGGAAGTTGATCAGTTATTGTTAGCATATATGTGTGCATCATGTGTTAATCACGTTGATGTAGCCATGATCATAATCTTTACTAATAACAATATAAACATAAGATATTTTAAACTAGTTCGTTGATGAGTGAAATTAATAGTTCAGTGCACAACACATTGGATATTTGAAATGAAAGAGGTTTCTGGTTTGCAGTCTTAATATAAAAATCAATATTGGGATGCCGGTACACGTAGCTAACTAGCTATCTCTGAATAGAACGAAATGCATATATTGAGTTTTTCGGCTATCTACAATTCATCTATTTTATTGAAATCACATTTTTATTTTGTCGGTTAACTGACAACAATTCGATTTCATTTGAGGTTGGGTGGGCAGTTGGGATTGAAAATCATTAAGCAATGGATGATAATTGTCTTGTCGTAGTCAGAAACTTCTCAACAGAATACTAATTAAAAAATAGTTCTTGCAAGTTGTTTAATCAAACTACAATAACTTCATGTCAATGAAGTACTTCAATTGAGCTAAGAACTTGACCGAAATCCTTAGATAATCATAACAACATTTTCATCAATTAATAACCAACCAATACTAGTGTAATTGCTCATTTTCAATAAACAAATCAGCGCTACCACCCACACACGCAACACCACATTCTCTTTTATTGTAAAATTTGTAGTCTATCTAGATCACGTTGAAGCAACATTACTTCGTAGTTGAATGATGGATTTATAAAATCCGTGTACATGGTTTCTTTCAGGCAGTCCAAAGTGTTTGTTTCTCTAAAAATTATTTTTCATTAGTGTATGGTGTTCGTGAACATTGTCGAGATTTTTATAGTATACATTACGAATAATAACTGTAGTTAGACAATCATTCACACTAAGGAGCACTAAATAACTGTTCCATTCCAATTGCGTATTCACAACACATCCGGGTATCGTACCTAAGACCTTAAGAGCATACGACATATCAAATTTCAACTAACTCACGATATTATTTTCTACTTTGGCCTGAAATTCTGTTTGTTCTTCACTTTTCAGCTATACTACTAACAATAATAATAACCCCATTAATATCTTTCTTTTTTTAAGTAAAATAACTTATCATGATAGGATGGTAAGTTCATATTGGTAAATACTTTCAATGTGTCTGCAGGTAATTTCCATGTTGGATTGTACATGTGTGTTCGTCTGTGTGAATGTGCATGTAACGATAATATTCATAAAATTTGACAAAAGTTTCTCTTCGAGATTCTGTGATGTAATAATAATAATAATGACAGTGATAACAATAAGGATAACAATGACAATCTTTATAATGTTAAATGTTCTAACTCATTTTATAAATGATCTTGTTATTCAGCATGTGCTATGTTTGTTTATGCTTCAATTGTGTTCTTCAGTGTTTCCTCTACAGAATGTTTGTAATTTATGTGAATAACTCTTTGTATGTGTGTAATGTTAACCCTATTGAAATGAGTTTATTATTACTAATATTAATTATGATGGTTACTAGAATTCTGTGAATAATAATAATAACCGGGAATTTGTATGTCCTCATCCAATGTTTCTCAATACGATCTGTTGCTTCTTTTTCTATATTTATTTATTTACTTGTCTATACAAATGTTAATCAATTATCTATACAGTTAGTATTTCAAGTTATTATTATCAGGAACTGATATCAGTCTTGGCCGTACCAGGGCATGTATATATTACATAGCTATATACAAACACATATGTCTCTTTTCAGTGAATGAATTTAACGTCCAAGACATGACATTTTTATGCTTGCATTATTATTATTATTCTTTAGTGCCTAATGTATTTTGACTTAATTACGTTTTATGTTTTATACTACTAATAAGCATACAAAGTTTAAACTCACTATTTCCTTAGAGCAGTGATACTCCTTTTATTTTAGCATATTCTCAATGGCGTGTTCACCTAAGGAATGCATTATTTGTCAAACTTTTAACATTGTATTTGATGAAATCATCTTGTATCTTTGAAAAAGTTGTATATATATATATATATATATATATATATATATATATATATATATATATATCACTTATTTTGATACAATCGACAGATGGATTAACCGCACTATTTGGTGCTTTCATGATATTAATTCGCAAACAAATCTGAATCGTGTAGAGTGAAAACGAAGTCCGTAGGTAGAATAGGATGTTTATGAGTAACACACATCTCTTTACAATACTGCCCTACAGGATATATGTGTATATACATGATTTTAGTTAATCAATATTGTGAATGAAGATTTTTCAAATAATGAATGCTCCCTTTTATATCTAAATCCTACGTTCCATCAGTTGTGAACCATCTTTGATAGTCCTTCTTCTTGCATCTCTATTGAATCTGACTATAATTGAAATACTTTATTCTTTCATATACTCTACAGACCCTTATGTTTTTCTTTAATAATTCGTAAAGTATTTCCAGTTATTTTGAATGTCAATGTCATCGTTTTTATGTTCTGTGAATGATGCTGTGTATGATAAGTTTTTTTAAAATCAATCATGTGTATCTGTTGAGACTTACCGATGAGTTATGCATCCAATCTATCTTGTTTTTGTCAAGTACATATTTTTGTACTTCACTTCAAGACATACTCTAAATGTATCACAGCTAGTTGATACTATAATCAGATTTTGTTTGGTCAATGAAGAGAGCATGTTCCAAACTTGCGGTTTACAGTCTGATAGTTCATAGTGCATGTTTGTTTGTTTGTTTTTGTCCACTGAATATTTGTAAAGGAAATATTTCTGTTTCCTTGAAATGTATATTTATAAAAGCTCATTTTTTCTTTATTTTTAGTTGCCTTAGGATCTATACTTGGAATATTAATATTCCTTTTGGCCACTCTTCTTGTTGTCTATAGTCTAAGGCATAAGTAAGTTAAAGTATTTTATTATATATATTTGTGTATTGATGTGGGATATAACGCTGTATAATGGTTGATTTGTCAGTGTATATAGACATCAGTGGATGTCTAGTATAATTATTTAACATGAATTATTTACCGACTCCATTTATTATTGATATATTTAATACTTGAATAATCTATACTGATTTTCTAAACTCTTTCTAGTCCTTCTACATAGAAATACCGTACACTTATCACTTAAACAGAATCTGGAAAGTGAGAGGTGTCGAATGAACAGTTAAATTCTGTGATTTATATAGGACGATAATATCTTCGGAGCATCTAGGTCAGTAATCATCCAACCAAGATATGATGCATAATGCATTGTTTTTGCAGAACTTCCTGAGAAGATTCCATTAAATACCGACTGCAAGAAATATACTTTTTAGCTATTTCCTAGGTAGTGATGAATTTCTACCAACAATTTCTGTGCCATTAAATGTTCATTTACTTTATCATAGTCAAATAGGATTATCACTATGAATAGCAAAATTTACCAAACAATCAATAATGTGATTGTTGGTAAGCAATGCACAAATGTTGTAGGATACAGCTGAAGAAGCAATTGGGGATCTGATGAAAAAGCAATACGAAACATGACAGATCCAAAAGATTCGCGGCACTGCAGTCAATTTCATTTCATGACGCTTGATGTCTATAACCATTAGTTATGGTTGTCTTATTGACCCTAACTAAGCTTTATTCAGCTTACAACTGAATGATTGTTAAGTAGCAGCCAATCTCGCATTTGTGCAATCTTATAATGCTGATGGAATTCTGTTAACTATGAAGTTGGTTTAAATCCCACAAGTAATATCAGTTTCCTACAAAGACTGCATATATGCCTTACTGGCGAGTGTCATATAACACATAACCCCTAGGTCAAACATTTCCTATTGACTGTCTTCAATTAACTCGAACAGTCTCCGCCTACTAACACAATTCAAATCAACAATCGCTAATAAATTACTCGATTGATATTACGTGTTGAATTAATCATCTCTACTTTATTCCCAATCTGTTTTCGTATGCACATTATACTTTTTAATATAGAATCGTCTAGGTTATCCTTCATCGTATTTTTCTTTTTAGATTATTTGAACATTATCATAAAACTATTGATCTAGCTGCAATTTCATCGTCGAATCGTCTTGGTTCCTGTTCATTGGGAACATTTAGTAGATCTAAAGATACTTTATTATTTCCAACATGTAAAAAATCTCTCATGTCATTTCATAACAATAGTAACAACAACAACAACAACCATAATCACACAATTTTCACCAATGGAAATCTCTTCAAATCTGATCTACATTTATTGAGTCATAATACAATCAATGAAAGTTTACCAGATTTTCAGAATACAGCACTTCATTCATCAACTGTTTCGGGTGTGAATAGAAAACCGTCAAATATTGACTTTATTACAGATGGTCACTTACCACCATGGCGTAATTCTTTTATGAAAAGAAATCACAAAACGCCTACTGCTATTTCAGCATTAACATTGGTACCAAATACACCGAATTCAGATCGTCGACAGATTATGAACTCATTACCATGGCTACGGACAAATTCCACATCTCATATTAGCAGTAATAATGGTGCTCCCTCTTCCTTTATTCATAATGCTAATCATAATAATAGTACTACTAATACTAATAAGAATAATAACCATTCAAGATTTGGAGCATCTAGTGAAACAATTCTATTTTCGTCATTGAATCCACCGAATGGTATACCACGTTCATGGTGGTTACCATGGCGTAGAAGTATGCGAAAAAAACGTCGATTATATACACAGTTACAAAGACGTCAGGAAATTCAATCATTATCTCAACGTGGTCTTTTAGAATCATCTGGTAGTTTTTTAGGGAAATCCACTCCACAATTACCAAATAATCGTCACTTAATGACATCATCAAATAATAGTGGGCTATTGGTGAATGACAATGTTTCAAGATTTGGTACAACTGCTGAACCATCATTACCTGCGATACCTATATCATCATCGCCATCATCAACATCATCGTTATCAAATAAGGAAGAATTGATTCATCAACATCCATACTCAAATCATATTTTTTTAAGATCGGGAAGATCTGGCAGTGAAAGAACACGACAAAGTACAAAGACGTTGATCACGACCACAGACAACGGTAGTAATTCCGGGATAGTTAGCGCTTTATACGCAAATGATGATCAAGCGAATTCACCAATTTATACAAAGTATCCTATGAATTTGCCAAATAATAATAATAGTAATGGAGACAATACATCACCGTCTATTTATCCCAAGACTAATTCAAATATACAATCTATTTCATGGATCAATGTGAATGATAATGATTTACCATGGAAATTTACACCACCAAGTAGAAATAGTTTTAGTAATGGTATTCGACGATTATCATCATTTTTTCGTAGTTTTAATCAAAGTAACGGATCATTTACACCACCAAGATATCATAATAACAATAATAGTAATGGTTATGGATTATCTTATAAAAAATCATCTTTAAGGTCTTCATCATTCAATACATCACGTACAGAGATGATGCCATCAATGCCAGTATTACCTACATTTAACTATTTGACTACATCAAATAATAATAATAATAATAATAATAATAGTGGTAATATTGTACCATTGACCAGTCATTATCCGGTCAATAAACAACATTTTGATTCATTTCGATTAAATGGTCGTCATGTTACTCATCCGTTGATGCAACCAGCTTTGCAATCAATGTCAGGTAGGTAACATAGTTTTCCTTCATATTTTCGGTTAAAATTTCACACTACTTGCAAATAGTCATATAATAACTATTAAAGTTATCCCGTTTACGTTCAATGTTGATTGACCTACATTTTCAATTCATGTTTAATTATTGCTGTAGAAGGTTTAGACAGATTATAAAATCTCATGGATTATATCATGGACTAATAATAATAATAATTATATGGTCGCTTGGGAGTCGTTAGGTCAGGTAAATAACTAGATTCCGACGAGGTTGTGTGGTGGTTAGCCACCGGCTGCGAGATCTGAATGTCTTGGCTTTCATTTGCAACTGGATCATGGATGCACACTACTGAAGAGTTACATATTAGGATAAAATAATTATTCAACACTCTACTTTCTAATGATTATCTCATTGAAATGGTGTCGAATTGTTTGCTTTCCCAAGAGGAGCAATTGGAATTGAATGACATGAAATGACCCAGAAAGTGTAAACGATATGCACTCAACTTCCTTGATTGGTAAATCACATATTATTGGTCACATAAAATTTGTCAAAGTTGAATACCTAGGTTTTATGTGGCCGAAGATGTGGTGCATATTCTTAGCCAACAGTATTTCTAAAACAGGTTAAATACAACTTGTGGTTATTATCATAACATAAACAATCATTGGAACTGATATTTTAGATTAAGTAAAACTAATAGCAGTGAGTCAGTAACGAAATAAACAATCAGTCAGTGTGTTTGTTTAGGACCCATATTGTATAGTTTATCTCAAATTAAAAGGATTTAGCTGAAGCCTTACAGTACGTTTGAGTAGTTCACATTATCCTGTCAAGGATATGTCCAGTGTAGAGACGCCCCAGTTCTCTTTATGATAACTACCATCAATTTATATCGTTTATAAATTGAAGTTGATTAGGTGCTCAACGCAAGACCTCAGGCTCCTGGGATCCTATAGCCTCACTGTTTAGTTGTCACATACAAAAAAGAACATCAGTCTTTTCAGTGTTTCCTTGTTTTCATTGGATGTTTTACTCAGGTCAGTACTTGTCTTAAACTACAAAATTCGATCATTTTGTTGTTTTCAGAACAAGCGCAAGTTATACCTTTTCATTTTATGTTTTGTCCCTCTTCTCTCTTCATTCCACTAACAGAATCGAAGGATTTACACAGAAAACATAATTATATCGAGAATATGTGGAGTACTCAAACAGTAAAACCATCATTATTTCATCAAGATGCTTATCAACACCAAAATCATCATACTATGTATAGCAGCGGAGATGAACACACTACCATCAATGATATGTTATCACGTAACACAACAAAAACTAGTTTACAAGGAAGTAGTCGACTAGATTCCTTACTATCCACAGAATTGATTGATTTATGCAACAATAACAATGGGTGTAGTAGTAGTAATAATAAAAATATTGTAAAGAATGATCCATTGGCTAAATTAAATTCTACTTCAGTGACAGTAAAGCAAATGGTACCGAATTCAATGTACAATAGTTCACTAAATTATAATAAATTTGATTATATTGAAAAAGATGATTTAAATCATTTACCATATCTAACAACTGATCCTTATTTGGAACCTGTTTCACTGAAACGAAGACAACAACACGAAAAACAACCGGATAATTTGATAAATACAGAGAAAATCAATCTCATTGATCATTATAATGATATAGATCTCGATACAGCAGTGAATGAAAATGGTGATTTAATCAAATTAAATAGTAAGTTGCATAAGATGATGTTCAAAATAGAAATGACAGTATACTCTAAACGTGCATGTTTAATATATGGAAGATTTTGTTGAGACTGTACAATTTTTGTGGCTTCCACCATAGAATAGACGATTACTGCAAAGTACAAGGAATACTGGCATAACTCTTTCATCCTGGATTTAGACTACTGAATAATTGGGAACCAGCATGATCGCCGGAATACTCGTGATTGAGTTTTGTTGAAGGGCTTTAAGATAAAATGGCTATCAAATAATTGCTCCTTTTTAATGGTTACTTAGTAGAAAAGTCATTCTGTGATATAAACTAGTCGTTGATATTAGCGATTTTTTAGCGCGTTAGTTTTCTACTGGATAAGGTCGCTAACCCCATGCCCAACCCTCCTTCTTTATGAGGGTTTGGGACTGGAGGGATTCCAGGCGTAGCCAGTCATTGATATTAATTAGATAAAACAATTTATTGCTCAACCGAATTAAAAAACGTCGAGTTATTTAATTCCAAGTTTGCAAAGCGTATGTGATCATAATGTCGAATCAAAATTCATTCGCCTAAAACTGAATCAACCATTATAGCCTTTAAAGTACTGAACTTATGTTATTTGATTTTTTTGTATACAGTTAGCATCGTGAAGTGTTGTTTTAGGTTAATGTCTTGAAAAACTGACTCTTTAGTAGTTACCGCACTTATAAACCTATGGAATTCAGTCGACAGTTTCTAAACCTCAAAATTAATTGGTAAATTTGCAAACTGAAATACATGTTTTAATAATGCTGTAGAAATGAAATACGGTTGAGCTCAGTATCTGTGGCCTAGAGGTTAGGCGTTCTCGCGCGAGACCGAAGGTCCTGGAGCCACAGTCCTAAGCGTAGGATTGTGAATATTCTCCGCTGAATAGTTTCATACTAGGACGAAATGGGCATCCAATGCTTTCAGGTTTTCAATGATTGTCCAACATTGATCGTCGATTCATGATTTCAATGAAAATTTGTTTCAGTGAATTTTTCTGAAGTTAACTCAGTTGAAAATTTGGTACACAAGGTAACGCTTCTTAATTTTCATTCACTTATCATCAATACTAAATCTCAACAGCGTATGGTTTTACATAATATGTAAATTATTTTTCTTCCAAGTCACTGAATGACAACTGTTAGTCAGATTATAGAATTATAATGAATTACCTAATTTTGACAAGATCTAAATCATTTGGTTGATCACTAGGTAGTGATCAATGTCATAGATAGAATTCGATCTGCACTAAGGAGGACCTGAGTTAATTGTTCAGCCAAATAGAATTCATGTGGCAGTATGTAACGCCAATCAGATATGTAATGCCTGGCAGCAGAAAATTGAGAAGATCGAATTGAAGCGAACAGGAATGTAAACAGAGAGCAATTGTAATAGAAATAGAATCGGAACAACCATGAATCATGAAGAAGACAACTAAGGGAAGATGTGTGAGTACTTTACTTCATGTATGGTTCTCATGTATGGTTCTCATATTAACTCCGCCTGTAGCTCTTATAGGGTTGCTGCCGGTCCCAAGCCCGGGTAAAGGAGGAGGGTTGGGCATGGGGTTAGCGTCCCCATCCCGTAGAAAACTAACTCGCTAAAAAAACGCTAACCAGAAAAAATAATCCAAACCATTTTAAATCTGCCCTGGGAGTTAGAAGGTCTTCATTTAGAAGAATTATGACGCTTCATGGTGAAAGCCGAGTTCCTTCGGAAGCCACGAGGCCGATGCCCCTTCTAACAACCAGAGCAAAAATTTTTATAGGTACATGGAACGTTCGAACAATGTGGGAAACCGGGAAGACCAGTCAAATATCAATGGAAATGAGGAGATACAACTTAGCAGTACTGGGAATCAGCGAAACCCACTGGACCCAAGCTGGACAGAAAAGGCTAGCTACGGGAGAGATGCTGCTATACTCCGGTCACGAAGAGGACAATGCTCCACACACTCAGGGAGTCGCTCTTATGCTGTCCAAAGTAGCACGAAATGCACTTGTAGGATGGGAATCTCATGGATCCAGAATCATCAAAGCATCATTCAAAACAAAGAAGGAGGGGATCTTAATGAATATTATCCAATGTTATGCACCCACCAATGATAGCAACGACGAAATTAAAGATCAATTCTACGAGCGGCTGCAGTCAGTGATAGAGAAATGCCCAAAAAAGGACCTCACCATTCTAATGGGTGACCTAAATGCCAAAGTCGGAATAGACAACACTGGATATGAAGATATTATGGGACGACATGGACTGGGAGGAAGAAACGAAAATGGAGAAAGATTTGCAAATCTATGCGCATTCAACAAATTGATCATAGGAGGCACAATATTTCCACACAAGCGTATACACAAGGCTACATGGATCTCACCGGACCACACTACAGAGAACCAAATAGATCATATTTGCATCAACAAAAAATTCCGAAGGACAATGGAAGATGTGAGAACCAGGAGAGGTGCTGACGTAGCTTCAGATCACCACCTAGTTGTAGCCAATTTGAAACTGAAGCTAAAAAAGAACTGGACAAGTGGACAAACAGCAATACAAAGGTTCAATACAGCCTTCCTTCGAGATACTGTCAAACTCAATGAATTCAAGATAGCTCTCAACAACAGGTTCCAAGCCTTACGAGATCTACTGAAAGAAGAAGAAACTACTATGGAGGACAACTGGAAAGGCATCAAGGAAGCATTAACTTCAACGTGTCAAGAGGTTCTCGGTCTAAAGAAATACCATCATAAGGAATGGATCTCTACAGAAACAGTGGACAAGATCAAAGAAAGGAAGAACAAGAAGGCAGCAATAAACAACAGCCGAACACGAGCAGAGAAAGTCCAAGCACAAGCTGAATACATAGAAGCAAACAAACAAGTGAAGAGGAGCATTAGAGCCGACAAGAAGAAATACGTTGAAGAACTAGCAACGACGGCAGAAAAAGCTGCTAGAGAAGGAAATATGAAACAGCTTTACGATACAACGAGGAAACTATCAGGGAAATACAGTAAACCAGAGAGATCGGTCAAAGACAAAGAAGGCAAGCCAATCACTGAAATTCAACAACAGCGTAATAGATGGGTAGAATACTTCGAAGAGCTTTTGAATAGGCCGGCTCCAATGGATCCACCGAACATCGAAGCAGCACACATAGATCTTCCTATAGATGTCAATCCACCAACTACGGAAGAAATTAGAATGGCCGTCAGACAAATCAAGAACGGGAAAGCAGCGGGACCCGACAACATACCAGCTGAAGCACTGAAGTCAGACATCGAAACAACCACAAGCATGCTTTATCTTCTATTCAAAAAGATTTGGGAGGAGGAACAAGTGCCGATGGACTGGAAAGAAGGACACCTCGTCAAGATTCCAAAGAAAGGAGATCTGAGCAAATGTGAAAACTACAGAGGCATAACACTACTGTCAATACCAGGGAAAGTCTTCAACAGAGTGTTGCTGAACCGGATGAAGGATGCAGTAGACGCCCAACTTCGAGATCAACAAGCTGGATTCCGTAAGGATCGGTCGTGCACAGACCAAATTGCAACACTACGGATCATCGTCGAACAATCAGTTGAGTGGAACTCATCATTATACATCAACTTCATTGATTATGAAAAGGCATTCGACAGTGTAGACAGGAGGACGTTATGGAAACTTCTTCGACACTACGGAATTCCTGAGAAGATTGTCAATATAATCCAGAACTCATACGACGGACTACAGTGCAAAGTAGTGCATGGAGGACAGCTGACAGATGCATTCCAAGTAAGGACCGGAGTCAGACAAGGCTGTTTACTCTCTCCCTTCCTCTTTCTTCTGGTGGTCGACTGGATTATGAAGACCTCGACATCTGAAGGAAAACACGGAATACAATGGACAGCTCAGAATCAATTAGACGATTTGGACTTCGCAGATGACCTAGCCCTCCTATCACGTACACACGAACAGATGCAGATGAAGACAGCCAGTGTAGCAGCAGTCTCTGCATCAGTAGGCCTCAGCATACACAAAGGAAAAACTAAGGTCCTCAAATTCAAAGCGGAGAACAGCAATCCAATCACTCTTGATGGCGAAACTCTGGAAGATGTAGAATCCTTCACATATCTGGGAAGCGTCATCGATGAACAAGGAGGCTCAGATGCAGACGTAAAGGCGAGGATCGGCAAAGCAAGGGTCGCATTTTTACAATTGAAGAACATATGGAACTCAAAACAACTTTCAACCAATATCAAAGTGAGAATCTTCAATACGAACGTCAAGGCAGTTCTACTGTATGGAGCTGAAACTTGGAGAACTACAACAACCACAATCAAGAAAGTACAAGTATTTATAAATAGCTGTCTTCGCAAGATACTCAACATCTATTGGCCGGATACCATCAGCAACAGCCTTCTGTGGGAGAGAACAAACCAACTTCCAGCTGAAGAAGAAATTAGGAAAAGACGATGGAAATGGATAGGACATACATTACGCAAATCGTCAAACTGCATCACGAGGCAAGCCCTAACTTGGAATCCTGAAGGAAGGCGGAAAAGAGGAAGGCCAAAGAACACATTGCGTCGGATAATAGAAGCAGATATGAAAAGGATGAATTACAACTGGACGGAGCTAGAAAGGATTGCCCAGGACAGGGTTGGATGGAGAACGCTGGTGAGCGGCCTATGCTCCTTCACGAGGAGTAACAGGCGTAAGTAAGTAAGTAAGTAAGTAATGGTTCTCATATTATAAAAAGACACTCGTTAATTTCGCATTAAACAATAGATTGGTCTGCTCCACCTGAATTCTTCGTTCACTACACACAGTCTAATATTGTGTCAACTTTCATGATTGTCATTTGTCATTGATTTCTGTTTATAATTGAATTTTCTTCTCAGAATGTGATCAACATCGGGCAGTTCATAGTGGAACAAGTTCAGCAATTAGTTCATTAGTATTCGCTGATGATTCTGATCTTTCTAAAGTGTCAGAAAATTCAATAAAAAGTCGAAAATCTGATCAATATAGTTCATTACGCTTGATCACATCACAAACTGTATCATCTAATGAAACTAATTCAATGAATAATAATCCTACAATAGATGTTACGACGGTTATTACCAATATTTGTACTACTACTACTACTACTTCTACAACCAACATTTCAATTCCCACTGCTACAGCAATTGTTCCTAACAGTGATGACATTGTAGCTCTACCTCGAGTGAAAAACCCAAATAATATTGATTATGTAACTTATGATGAAACACGTTCGTATGATAAGAAAAATAACCGATTTACACTGAATAAAATTACTGGACAACAACCATATTCAATTGATTCTGACCGTAATCCGTTGATTACAAATAACAAACTTGTAGCTGGAACATTAACAGTTGCATCAGCATTGTTGTCATCAGATCATGACGTTCAACGTAGAATCAATACAATGAAAGGTAATTGTCTCATTTCATAGTTTGATAAACACATTTATCAGATAATACAATCTGTAGTAATGACGAAATGATATTAGTTTGACATGCAATAGTAGTCAGAGAATAGTGATTAGCTGTTTCGTCCTGAGTTAGGTTTCCTCGTCTGTACAGACTCATAATTCAACAAACTATCTAACTTATTACTTTCAGTGAACGCCTAATCACTAGATTTTTTTGGCCGATAACATATTATGCAACAATAGCTTGATATGTACCACGTAAAACTGTTGAATAATTGAGTTATTCTTCTTGATTGCTTAAACTCCTGTAATAACCTCAGGCCTAATCTAAACAACAACTTGAACATGAGAGAACTGCTGCAAAATGTAGAAAGCATGCTTAACTCCAAGGTTAGTTATTGTACAGAAAATTGAAGGTATTTGAAGCATTTCAGATGAACTTGGGCTTCTGACAGGTACTAAAATCCTACTAAACATGGTAACACTAGAGGCAGTCATCCAATGGGAAATGTGACAAGTGACACTTCACGATCAAGATGTCTGTGAGACACTCCTATTGAATGCTGATTGGATAAAAAGGTTTCCCAGTGTTCACAAGGCCTCTGTGGACTTTTATAGAGGACTACTCTTCATCTCTTCAACATCTACTATGAATGCTATTCATTATTTTTCCTTATTATTTCCTTCTTTATCCTTCTTTCTAAAAAAAAATCATTCTCGTAGGTGATTCTGATTCGCGCCCACTATCTGATGCAATGATTAGCAATCATTATTATGATTTAAATCGTAATATAAATTATCAAGAAATATCAATGGAATCATCATTACAAGAAGAGGAAAACAGGGATTCTAATCATCAATTATTATGCAAATCTCATCCACCATTACCACCATTATGGTCTAATAATAATAATAATCATGTGCAACATTTTAATAAAAACCATATTATTACTGCCACTACTACTACTACTAATAATAATAATAATGATAGTAGTAAGAGAAATTTTGGTTCAATCGATTCATTATATGAAACAGTGGATTTGCCTAGAACTAATTTACCGACCTCAGTGTTAACATCGACAACAATGGTAAGTCAACAATTCATTTAATTTTTTTTAATTACATACTTAACATTGTGTTATTTACTAAATTGATAAGTAGTCTAACGCATATTTGTGTATTTTCAAGGGTTAACTATTTTGTAAAAAGCATAATATACATTAAGCTGAAGGAATTTTGTATGCCTTCCAAGTATAATCCAATTAGGCTTTGTTCTAGCTAGATCTTGCACTTTCTTCAACTTGTCTAGTTTTATTCAAAATAAATGTGATGCTTTGCTTTGAGATAATGTTGGAAAGAAGATTATTAAGTCCTTACAAAATTTTCACAAGCAATACTATTCAAGTCAAAGTACACAATGATAAGGGAATAAGTGCAAAAAACTATTTACAAATGACAACAACTAAGAGATATGCAAATATTGAACAAAGTGACCTGCGTGATATATTAGCGCAACACATTTCGAACAATCTGATCACATATATACTGGTGAAGAACATTTATATTTAAAGATAAAAGGTCAACTAGATTGGAAATGGGGGCAGAAGAGACAAAGATAATAATAAGTGTAATAATAATAATAATAGTAATAATATGAACATAATTTGAAACCCAATTACTCTGGATTATAAACCAATATTATCAAGGAAAAGACAAAGGTGTTCATTTGATGTGAATTTCTTTTTCACAAATGTACCATTGTAAAAGACTATTGATATATTATGTGATTACATATATTTAAACAATCTTAAATTACTTGTCTCTTTAAAGATTCTTAAAGATTTGCTACTATTATGTAATGACAACGTTCAGTTCACTTTTGAAGGTGAATATTTTGGCCACATTGATGGGGTTGCTATAGGTAGTCCTTTAGGACCATTATTAGCAGATGTGTTCATGGTGTTATATCCGAGCGAAGATTAAATCACGAGTAACTTCTCAGACATATTAATCAACAAGTATTGTCTATATATTCTTATGGTATAATTATTCAATGATTAGTTTATGTATATTTATATTCCTCTTATTATAAGCTTCATTTTGACCTATAATTCATTATTATACGATTTACTGTCCCTAAATTATGCTTAGTTTATTAACTACTGTCTCCCACGTTCGTAACCACTTTTTGGCTTTATTATGTATAAATATCATTTTCTATTTTATGATGCGTTGCGGTCTGTTTGGTTGATATAAACCCAGTATATCTGAAATAAATGATTCGATTCGATTTGATTCGCATAGTGGAAGAGAATAACGATCAGCTTCCCTTCCTAGATATACTTCTGAGTAGACGAGAAGATGGCTCAATCAAACGATCCATTTCCAGAAAATCAACGTTTGTAGGTCAATACCCTAGTTATTGTAGATATCGCTTTGTGTAATACAAACGGGATTTGATAAGGTGCTTATTCAACAGGCTTGATCGTATTTGTACATATGACGCCATTGATGATAATGTTAAGTTGCTAGATACAAGATTAATGGGAAATGACTATCTTTTGAAATTCATAAATAGATAGAAATTTCATGGTACAGTGAGACCTACTGTAGCCTTGGCTGAAAAAAAGCCTGTCTGTATCACCTTACCATTTAGAGGTGATTCAAATAGCCGTTTATTGAAATAAAGGCTTAAATCAGCCATCAACAAAAAGTAATGCTCAGCAAGGGTCATTATCAAATGAATAACAAGGTGCACGCTTTATCCAAAACTTGAAAGACATGAAAACGATTGTGTGTGGTCACACATGCATAGGGAGGAGCGATCGTGATTTCAAAATTAGGGTGTGTGAACATGTACCAAAATGGTTACAGAAACAAGTAGAATTAAGTGACTTAAATAATATCTTGTGGATAGACTCTTCTTAAATTTATCAGGAGGATGTTTAATTTTTATGTACAATTCACTTGGAGGAAATGAAATGAAAGTCTTGTATTCTTTTGTGTTTTGGGTAAAAATGTTGAAGTGTTGTGGTCTTCTCGTTGTCCGATCTGTTTAGGTGCCACACATCCTGTATTGAATGAGAAGGAACTTCGTAAACCGTTGTAACTAGAAAACGCCGTAATGATCACAATTAACAAAATTGTTTCCCCATGAAATTAATAAGGAAGACAATGAAAGTCTCGGTATTAGACCATTTCAGTTCGAAACAGGCAATAATATCTCAATGAAGTGTCCACTTTATTGGTTGATTGGAATAGCCTTGTAACGTTTAGCAATTTTGAAGAGTATAAGCTGTAGTTTTGGCTTTTTTCACCTACCTGATGGATGAACTTCCCTCATGATTGTAAGTTTTACGTTTTCTTTGATAATTGGACACTGACTGAAACTCCTTTTCTCATTTTTTGTTTACTTTCAATGTAGATACAACAAAAACAACAACATTTCATGGAGTTCGGAAATATTGTCAATAGCGAACATTTACGTCAACATCGACGTAGTTGTATGGCATTACCGCCAACACCATCATCTCTATTCAATGTAAAAGCACCGATACGTTTAATCAGTGAAATGGATGATTGGAATTTGCCTAGTTGTTCTGATGATTCGGAATAACTAATTTTATGATTAAGAGAAAGGAGAAGACAATGAGAATTCTTGTATAGATCAAAGATATTGAATGAAAATATTCAATTTGTAAATGATTTACAATGAAAATCAATCCATTCTTTATTTATTCCCAGCTTCATTGTGATACTTTCGTATCACAGTTTTAATTAAAGGAACTTCCATTCACAGTGGAAACTGCTTCCGAGTTTCTACTGTGAACATTCAAATGATGAATTTTGGAAAACATTGATAAATATGTGTAGTTTGTTTCTCTACAATTCTATTGTACCATTCACCAATGTTATGTGCATGCAAAACCTGACGCTGTTTAGCTGGAGATAATCACTGGTCTTTCTGTATTCCATTGAGGTTATCTTCCAAGAAATGTTAACATTCAGTAGCAAAATCTCGTTAATGGTTTTGGTTTAGCAATGTGCATTCGGATATAATGATGATTATTCTGTGTGTATGTTACTATCTTGTAACGCCATATTCTGTAGCTTCTTTTCAAAATGATATTTTACAGACTTCCATGTTATATAAAACTTGCTAATGCTGGTAAGAAATAGAGGAAATAAAGATCTTCGTAGCAAAACTATGAGCCTGAGTTCAATCTGTGTTAGCGTGTTTCGAAGATATCGTTGACTAAGACGAAACATTTGTCTTTTCGGTACTTCCTGGTTGTCCATGATTGTCTAAAATCATTTAGTGGTGTAAACTTTGAAAAGTCAACAATCTTCTAGTGTGATTAATTTGAAAACTATTCAGTTTACTCCACAGAATAATGATATCAATAAATGATTTCTCTCTGCTTTTTTTCTTTGTTTCCACATCCTGTCCGAATGCATTTCTCATCAGGATTACTCCAATTATGTTCTACTCTTAGCTCGACTTTTCTTAAACTGCGTTGTCAAAAAAAATCCAGACATTGGTACCATTCAAATATACATGAATTTCATTCAGCTGTTCAAGCATAAAACCATGTCATCTACTGACAACAAATTATCCACATATACCTCTTCCCATGATCCAGACCATATATATTACTTATTTCGTTATATTCTTAAACAGATTGAGAAATCCTTTACTGAACTGTAAGTGTCTTCCAACAATACACTTTCTCAGTTACTCTCTTTCTACATAAATTCTCAGTATGTTCTTGACTTGATATTTTTTACTTTTCTGACTGTAACAGAATATTTCTATCAATCTTTTCTTTTGTTTAAATGAACATCATTTTCATTCATTCATATGTATAGCTATGAGTATGGACATACTCCTTTCCGATGATGTTGTCTTCTCTAAACTAGTTAGGTTAGTTACGAAGCTTTGAATATTCTTTGCAATTGATCCATTCATTTCAAATAGTATGTATTACAACTGGTTGGATTCAACTGAGCTACCAATTTTCGCGTTATAAATGTCCAGTTGAATTTTCAATTTTGGTAACACATACACACACACACAACGTATTCAATTCACACTTGCCGTTTCTACAATTTCTTTCATTGAAACTCATCTTCACACCTTGTACAGCTTTTAGTGCATAGAATCTATAAAATCAATATCGTACACACATCTCTTATGTTAAACTGCATTCAGTGGTTTGTTTTTAAACATTACCAAAGTGACATTTCACATCACTGTTTTCCTTACTTACAATTCCTTTGTTATATATACATTACACATGTACACAGAAAATAACTTTGACACTAATGCAATTCTCTCCTCGTTATTTTGTACGACAATACTAAATTATGCTTGTCCATTAGTTAATTATATATAAAAATCCAGTTTCTCTATATTATTGATGTTTGACTTTGTGTCTCCACAATATATATGGGTTCTGTTGGATAGCACGCGAGAATTATGTAACTTGCTAGCTGGCGCTCATCAGTAATGCGCATCTGATAATTTTGGAAAGTGATCTACGTGACATTCGAGCCAGCATCACTCGTATTTGCAGTCAGAGTTATTAACACTGACTCCCGGTAGAACTGAGTGATGATCGATTTCATGTCTATCTATTCCTTTCGTGCCGAATGAACCTTATCGATTAAGTTGAAATGTGGTCACTAGTCTAATTGACTCGACGCCATGTGCACTACGTTGAGATATTAGGGGATTGAAATTAGTTGGAAGAGAATCCTACCTGAATTTTAACCTTAGTATTAGTCGCTAGTCCTTTACTTTATTAGGTTATTTTTCATAATCATAGATTAGTACGAAGTAGACTAATGAGCAGCGTACTAGATCATTAAAAGTTCGGTTGATTCACCGTCTACATCACAGTTGACTCAAATTAACAGAAACCAAGTGGTTTCTCCAAACCCATGGCCAGATACCTTCAAATATTCATCCATCGTATGGTCATGTTGCATAAATCACCTTCTTTTGACAATAAATATGATTTCGGAGTTGCTCAGTTTAACTAATTTACATGACTGATCAACGATATATGCACAACTTATATGGAACAAGCAAACTGCTGAAAATACCTGATGCGTGAAGTTTTCAGGCAATTTACTTTACAAAAAAACACTGGGTAAACAGTCAGTCATAATCAAAGTAGAAGCAGTCAACAAACGTGTGCATCGGCCCACATTGTTGTATCACAATATAAACCGAGGAAATTGAGAGTAAATCAGTGTTCGTAAAAATTATAAAGGGCTATATTTCCAGGATGACATAGGAACAAAAAAGAAACTGGAAATAGTAATATTCCATAGTGCGATCGGAAAATAGCGAAATCATACAGAATCATGAAGTAAAAAATTGTGTGAATTGGCAATAGGTTCAAGAAGATTTACGAGAATAGGAAGGATATTTGGAAAGAGAAATGCGAGATAATGCACACAATTCAATGAATACAAAACAATGAATAACTGTAGCGACTGTAGATAATAATAATAATAATAATTTATTCTCAAATAACAGTTTGTTGCATGATGCATGCCAGTTTACAGGCAAGATCAAATTGATACAAATGATACAATATACACTGTAGTAAATTACATAGCTGGGTTGATAATTTATAAGATATGAATGTAGATGGTTTTAATCAGTAGTACAGTTGGCGCACTTCATGAAAGTTGCGTTGCGAATGTGCAACTGATGGTCAAGGATAGGTCCATTGAAGGTATGAGCTTCTAGAAATCGCAACCTTATGTCCCTTTGGAATATCCAAGGCTTTAAGGATGGTGCAGGATTAAGTCACCCGTTCCATATCTCAAGGGGGCTGAAAGAGGGAGCAAGTAATAAAAAGCACGAGAGGCAGAGTAGCCAATACTCATGAAGGAATGTTTAAGGTATGATTACTCAGTCTAATTTTCTTTTATTAAGGTATTTGTTAAGAAGGAGCATTTTAATAGGTTAAAGAAAATAAGTGTTACCAATGTGTGAGTAGACACACAACTGACAAATGGAGGCGATTCGGAAAGGAGCTGAGAGTATGGGATTATGTGTGATTATAAAATAAAATATAGTGCTAGAAACAGTATTGTGATATACAATTGGCTGTCTTCCTTTTATTATCGAAGCTATTAGAGCCTCTTTCATTTTTTTCTTTTGTATTATTATTTTTTTCAGGTATTATAGGGTCTTGAGTAGGCTTCATATATTAGCGAATTGTCTAGTTTGCTTGTAATAGGATTTCTGGATAGGAAGTGAAACCAATTCAACGTTCGTAACACGATTTAAAGAGGTACTTTGCGTGATAAATCAGCATCAATACCATAAGTTCGTGACATCCCACTTAGGTTGATCGAGATCTGTGCAACCTTTGTAAAATCCACATATTATTTGAATAATAAGCATATGTTTGAAACAAACCAACTACTCCAGTACCCAAGAGAATGCAATCACGAATTGTATGAGATTGAACTGACTTGTCGATAACTGAAGATTTTTCTGTTTGAAAATAAAGTTAGAAATAAAAAACGATTCAAAGCATGTTAGATACTGACATTTTAATCTAATGAGTACATATACATTCTTTAATTGGATATTAACAATTGAGGTGTCAAGGTTTTTAGTTTTGAGCCACCTAGTCTCAGGTTCGAAACTCGTTCTACCTACTCTGATTTGGCCAATCGTGGTAGTTTTCTTAACCCTGAAAATCAGAATACGATTCAAAGCGAATTATACGAATCTGTACCCGGTAAATGAGTTAAAAGGCATTTATCAGTTTGTTACAGTTTTCCTTCACATTCTCCAAAATATTGAAGAATTCCTGTTAACTGAAAGTTTTTCATGATGGCGTTCTCATTCAAACTGTATCTCTTCTTAGAAACTACCCTTGTTCACATGTATTTCTTATTGAGAAAAAGAACTCAGGATATCCATATCCCATATACTCGTCAAGAACATACCCTGTTATTACTGGTTCATTATCCAGCGTGATTTTCATATTGAGCACTTTAATGATTATCTTTATCTTTATTCACAATTACCTTTGAATTTGTCCAGTTAACTTTTCATCAGATTATTTGATATGTATTGTACAAAATGTACCACATAAACACTGAGAACCTTCATCTATCTTAGTGTATGATTTAAATTGATCAAAAAGGGATGTAGATCATACCTTTTCTAAAACATTTTTTATGTTTCTGAAAGTACTTCGACGAGATGTTCTTAAAAAATCTAATTAGATTGGGATATTGTAATAGATGTGTGATTAAATGATGTGAACCTGATTGTAAACAAGTGGATGATAACGAGTTGTAGTCGATATCCCACCAATTAGAATCACCATGCTGTGATTCATACATTAATAAGGGCCACATAAATGCAAACACATAAGCGTCGACTGCAGTTGGTCTTTAATTATGTTGATAAGTGCAGGTACATATACACGAAAAGGTATAAGCGTATACTTAAGAGAGAGGAGAAAACAAATATCAGCGTTAATACGATTAAATAGGACAATAGGACAACAATTATATTGAATACCAAAAACGTTTATAGAAGTCAACCACGCTTGGAGTTGAAGAGTCCGCAAAGTATTACTCTTGTTTATTTGACTGAAAGTTCGTTATCGACAACTTCCAATAAAGTGACTGTCTTGATGATTATTTTTCAATATTAACATACATCCCAAAATTAGTCAAATAGTTCGTAGTTAAATACTGTACAACCTTAAACCCAACCTGCTACGGAGTAATATTTTGATTTTAAAAATCATAATGAAAATTATTATTGTCAGATGAATAAAAGAGATTGTAGCTGGAATAAGGAAATGGTCGAGTATCAAGTTAGATTTTTCTTTGCATAACTTTTATTTGAAGTTATACATCTGTAATTTAGCTATACTTTCAACATCGACCTCAAAGTGTTGGTTTACTTCTTATATAAGACATTTACTATGAAATCAGAGCTTCCATTGATGAACTTGACATCGGCTCTCAATTGTAACGTATAGTTCGATTGTCGAGATTCTCGTTATAAATGCCGACCATGTGATGTGCCGAAGTAATAACATAAATGTTTAATGCGACACATTATTGCTAAACTATGTATGTTCATGTTCCTCTTAATATTATTCCACTTACCATCCTTGGGTTATGCCTAGTGTATTAATTACAGTCTCTCACATGCACAACCATTATTGGCTTGATGTTGTACATATGTTATTTTCTGTTTTATCGTACGATGTGGTCTGTTTGGTCTGTATAAAAACCCAGTACTTTTGAAATACATGTCTCATATTGCGGAAGCTGAGATTTGTTTTCTGGATCTAACAGGCAGAGCTATGCAGGAAGAAGAGCCGATATGACTCTAGAATGGTCGTACGCGGTTTGTGCGTCATTGGTACGGTTAGTAAATCACTGTTTTCTAATTGGCGGTATCATAACACCATATACTGGTAGGGGAACAAAGTCACAAATTATAACATGGACTATCAACACGAACAAGAAAATGTCACAGCAGATTAATAGATTTAACGACGTGCGGAATCAACATCACCGGAAACCGAAAGCCTGACCGTTGTTGATACCTTGATGTGGTCATCGAGCTTGCCTATCGTAATGAACCAATCGAGCTAAACTGCCAGCAGCAGTCGTTCATCAAGATTCTACCATGCTGGACATGTTGGTTGCTGAATGGTAAGACTAAAAGCAGCAAACCCAAGGTCTGAGGGAGAAGCTGTACTGCTGACTGTACAGAGTTGTGACGGCAGTAAGGTATTTCCTTCAGACAACCAGCATAACAGCGATGAAACCTTCCCACAAGGAGGAGTGAGGTTTGAAAATATCGACCCTAAAAACGCACATCTCGCCTTATCCCACGGATCTTCGTCTCCAGTGGTAAGTTCCAATAATTACGGAGCCAACGCGAAAATTACTCACAAAAAGGTCGTGTGTGGACGACCTCAAGCACTTTTACCTTGGGCACTGAGGTTACGCTCGCAGGTCACTAAGGCCACCTTGAATCCATTTTCATTTTCAGGTACCTGAAGAAGAACCTTTTCACGGAGTGAGAAACCGGGAAGTGATAACTGCACTCATACATCCAGCACCAATCAAGATCACTGTATTCACAATCAATCTATTTCTTCAATTCCTATTATTCCAGCTTTCACGACTTTCAAATCCAAACTTGTTCCTTTGACTTCCTTCACAAGTGACATCATGGCCAACGATTCTAATACGCGAAACACCGTCCCAGGTCCATTGAAACATCGCTGTTAACCACATATTGGAAACTTAGATTTACACAACCTATTTCAAATCGGGCAGCAAGCATCCTTGGCTAAAACCCTGGGATCTCGCACCATTGATTCATGATGTGCCTCCGAAACACGCATACA